CTGCAAAACACACACCAAGGAAGAAAGGTGGGCTTTCATCTCCAGGGCAGCCTGTTAATTTTAGTCAACACTGGATTCACACACATGCGTCAAGTCACTTGGTAGCAGGTGAAGCCCAACAGATACCTTTGGGCCTGCTTCCATCTTCTTTTGATGCCGATGGCTGAAGCCTCTGCAGTTGTTTTATTTCTGCCATGAGATGTTCGTGCCAGCTGGGCTCCTGCGGCAGGTGCTTTTTCGGCTTCCTCTCCAGCACCTGCAGGCAGAGCAGAGCACTGGGAAGAGCCAGCAAAAAGCACGACCACCAGCCTCACAAGTGCCTCAGTTGGGAGCATGTTGTCTCAAGCACACCCCCCTCACCTGCCCTTGCGCTTTCCACGTCTCATCTCTAAGTTTTGGGGGCATATGAGATGAAGTTTACATGATGTGTTTGCTGTGGAGTATTAGCCACTGTCAGATTCAGATCTAACTCTGGCCAAAGTCTAGGAATATTTCAAGACCACAGAGCATGCCAAATGGAAGAAGCTGCAGAGGAAGCAGGGAAACTGATCTTTCTCCTCTGAAGATTTGTCACCTCCCACTTTCGTAACCCCATGTATTAGCAGACAACGATTTTCTCAGGGTCTGCTCAAAATTTAACTATGGTTAATACAACCCTCTTCCAAATCAAATCAGGTAGCTAGGACGTTAGCCCACAGAAACCATTTTGGCAGCTCCAGAATCACTTTGTTTTGCCATCACCAGGTGCAGCACCCAGCCACTTACTGGTTTTAAGTGAGGCATAGGAGAAGCTGCACCAACTCTGGCGCCCTTGCGTTTTTCCTCAATGATCACCTGAAAGAACAGAAATGATGCTTAAGAAGTTAAGTTATTCCTGTACTCATTCCCTCTCCCATTCAGCAACATAATGGGCAGCAAGTCACCATTTGGGAATGTAGGAGGTGAAAAAGATATTAAAAAAAAAAAGTAGGCAAGTATAGAAAAAAATAGGTTTGCTTTGTTTTTTAAAGCAGACGCAGCTTTGCTCGCAACAAGTTACAGGCAATCTAAAATACCAGGCAGATGTTTGAGGCTTGCATAGGAAGTGTACAGCACTCTAGCCCTGGCAGATCATTAAGAGAGCTGAGAAGCTGCTGGAAACAATATTGTACTTTGAGATTTTAATGCCACGAGTGAGTGTTCCTGACAAGCATCATGGTCACATCATAGACCTGCATCAAGCCCTGCACTTGCTGCAGAGGGAAGCACTGACGAAGGCAGCTGTACCTACACAGATTTAGCTGCTTTGATCCCTTATCCTTACTTTGAGGCTGTGCTGCTTGCTTTCCTTGTGTGTACAACTTGAACACATGGGAGGGCAGGTGGAACAACACTACAGCTTTGGGGCACTTTCATTCATTTGAAAGTTAGACCATGGTTTACCGTGCTTTAGAGTAGCTTTGCCAAAGGAGAAATCCTTGTTTAAGAGCCTTCTCAAACAGAGGCCTGATCAGCAGCACCCCATGCCTTCCTTCCGTATTTCTGGCTATATTTCTTTGGACTTGCAGCTTGCTGACCATAGCAGAGAAAATAAATAAATAACAATTCAAGAGCCAGTTAATCCTGCCACCTTGAGTTATGGTTCTGTACTGCACAATGTGGTCACACTATTGTACATTGCAAACACTACAGCTATGATGTACTGTCTCTTTTTCACTCCTGCTCATTGATGCATTGATACCAGTTCTCCAGATAAGACTGACATTTCTCTGAAGGCTGGAGCCAGCCAGGAAGAGCAAGAGCTAAGATTTTATAGGGGTGCATGGCTCAGCTGAAGCTGTTTAATCCTCTGCACTCCAGGAGCACTGACAACAGGCAGAAAAGCTCATGTCTAGCATGGTATGCAAAGTTTTCACTTTTAAAACATATAGCTCTTTATAATAATTAGAATTGTCTCATCTTCTGCCAAGAAATACGTTTGCAAAGCACTCCAGTGCCACAAAGTCCCATGGCAATGTTTTAGATCTGCTCATCACTTCCAGCTCAAGCTGCAGCAGGCGAGCAGCAGCACAGGCCTTTAGAGCTCACTCATCTCTGTATCTGTGCACATTTACCAACAGTCAGTGTTGGAAACCCCTACCACTCGAGTCAGCACAATGGCTGCCCTGGAAAAATATTCTGCTTTTCTTATCCTGCCCAAACTCCTGCAGCAGCCTCTGCCCAAGGCAGAGCAGAGCACTTGCTGAGAAGTGCTTTTACATTGCACACATCCCACATCAGCTGAGAAAGCAGGGAAACTAGGAAGAGGTGGCAGACACTGCACAGCTCAGGGAGCCTAGGGAGACGGCAGAAAGCCCAAGCAGTCGAGGGGCTGTTTCGTGCAAGGCAGCTTAATTGCGCCAAGGGAGAGAGTGTTGACCCCTGCAACAAGAGGAAATTTAGCATCCAGCTTCATAAAAGTTTGGCTACCCTGAGTCAAAGTTACTGGAAACAAAGTGCTTAGGAGGACAAACACTGAGTTGAGAGATGCTTCTGAACTCATAGAATACCTTGGAGAAAGGGTTGTAAGACAGGCTTTTAAGAAAGCACCTCAACAGACACCACCCAGAAGCCAGGCAGTCAGAGCAAGTGGTTTCAGAGTGGTTCACCAAGCGCAGTGGCTCACCTTCCGAAGGGTGTACCTCTTCTGCTGAATATCATCCGCCAACATCTCGTAGGGGGAGCGGGCACACTTCTGTGGAGGGGCATGATGCTGAGGTGTCCCGGGCACTTTGCGCAGCTTCACACCGCTCTGCAGCTCACGGATGACGGCAGGCCACAGCACTGTCTATGAGAAGAGAAATGAGCTTGTGGAGAGGTATTTCCTCCCTCCACTTAACACGATTTGACAACTAAAGTCACTCAGAGATACACAAGGGCATTCTTGACACCCTCTTCAACCCATTTATAGATCAGCTGGAGATGTACAGCACCACAACTCAGAATTGCTTCTCTTTGTCAGTTTACAGCAAGGGATCCGGAAGCTGGTTCCTCAGAATCCTTTCTGAATGTTGTTGCTAAATTAATGACTATTCTTCAGCAAGACACAGTTTTTGTTATCAGGTAGCTAAGTCTATCCCCTCTCTTGAAGAAATACTTGAGAAAGATCCTGCAAGGATGTCAGGTGCCAGAGTTTCACAGTAGTGTAACCCAGGAAATACCAGGAATGAAATCTCAAATCTTACTACTAAAATTCCCCATACTTTCAGAAACAAATGCATGAAGGGTCCACAGATGAAAGGAGACAAGGAGAAAGGATCTCGTACTTTAACCTTCCCAGCAGCCCGTGCATGAAGGGTCCACAGATGAAAGGAGGCAAGGAGAATGAAAGGAGGCAAGGAGAAAGGATCTCATACTTTAACCTTCCCAGCAGCCCATGTTAGCAGTTCCAGCCTGGAGACACAAGCCAACATCTGTTCATCCTGTTTCTCTCTCCTGTTTCCACAGGATGCTCAGGCACAGAGATTTTGGGAAAGAGGGAAATAAAAACCAACCGAACAACTCATCGGCATGTTTAGACAACATTGCAGTGGAAGTGCTAAGTCAACAGCTTACCTGGATCCCAAAGGCATGCCAAGAAAGAAGCAATTGTATTATAAACAATGAAAGGGAAGCAAAACAGAAAACTGCCTCAGAACTAAACTTCTGACTTAGACTCCCCTCCCTTTTCCACTTACAGAACAGAGCATCTTCACTAATCCTCTCAGCTATCTTGGTATAATGTCAGAAGAGCCCTAGGCAAGCGCTTGCTGATGGCTGCCTTCATGGAGGAGAAGGAGGTTTAGCTGGGGTGTTTTAGCCTGGCTTTGGAACAGTTTAGCTGAACTCCGTAAAACCACAACAGCCATAAAAGTGGCCAAATACTAGCCACGTCTCCTGGGCTAGCATATTTACTCCATAGGAGAACACAAACATCCCTTACAGAAAGTCTAAGGCAGGAAAGAGCTGGACAAATTAAACACTTCCAGAGGCAATGGGTATGAAAAATTTTATCCTGATCCATCTGCACTTTCTAAAGTTTTATTTCACATGATGACAGAGTTGTTCAGAAATGTACCACCTGAAGAGACTCTTGTACTATAATACTGCCACATTATTTTACAGACAAGACTGGCCTTCAGCTGACCCTTTCAGAGCCATGTGTACATCCAAACAGTCTCTCCAGCACAGGAGGCATCATTTTCACTTAAACTTTTCTTTCTCACCCAACTGAATCACTGCAGTTACTCTGCTTGCGCCATCCCATGTACTACCAAACTGGGTATAAGCTTTGTACCACGCAAGATGCTACTTGAACACAAGAGAGCAGAGAGGAAAGAGCCTCCCATACAATACTCCATGCCCACTGCATGCAGTGTTCGTTTTCAACACGTAAGCAGTAAGACAGCTCTGCTCCTAAGAGATCTTAGCACATAGACTTCAAGGTGAAAGCTGCCTTGCAACACACTTGGACAAACTCTGCTGAGATGCCACCACTCTGCACATCAGGCTGTGGCCTGTACTTCAGAAAGCCTATTCCATAGGGGTCAATATGAGAAAGTGGCCCATGGACAGCCCTGGCTGCTTGGCATCACTGAAGGCATCAGCTCCAGCCTGTGGGATACCAGCAAAGCTGGCATCATCATTATTTTAAACTCAAAAGAGTTTGTCAGAACTATGCAGTCAACTGCTGCTTAGGGACTTGGAAACAAGAGGCAGAGGATTTGCAACAGACATCCTGCCTTTGTAATTCATGTCTCCTGAAGAAGCAGAGGCCAAATACACTGGCCTTGGGGCCACACAGCAAAGCCTACATATTTATTCATGTATTCCCTGCAGAAAAGAACTATAGCAGTTGATGAGTTTGTGGTTTGGGATAGCTTGCCAGTTTATTTTAATAGATCACAAAATTGAGAATATGCCCAAACACACATTTCACAAACATTTTCATACGAATAGTTTGAGCACGCTTCAAAGCAAGTACTGTTTAGACAAAAGGAGCAAGTCCACAAGTCTCTCGGGGCTTGCCGTTTGTCTCCACGGACTCCAGACTACAGCACATTTGTTTATGCTGGGCACAGCTCCAGCCAGCAGAGTTATTTGCTTCTGACTGAGTCCTGACTCTGCAAGGCTACGGAGAGAAGAGAATAAGTTGCTTTCTCTGCCCCAAGCAGAGAAAGAACTAGGAATGGAGAGAATGAAAGGACACAAAGTGGCAGCAAGCAGAAGGGGGGAGCCTCTCCGTTCTTTGCTCCAGCTGACACTGCAGGAACTGCACAGCCAGAGACAGGTGGATCTACTGCTCTTTAGTCCCCTTCAACCTGCTCCAGCACAGAGTTCACACGATAACCGTGCACTGGTCCACCTCAATGCTGCCAACAGAGCAGTTTACTGGGAGCTAGCAGTTCAACTACAGAACAGAGCAGCCTGCTCTTGGCAGGTATCAACTCCTGCCAAGAGATTGGAGCTCATTTAGCAGAGGAAACAGCCTGAATAACTACTTGTGGACACTTGCTCCACAAAGAATGCCTCCAATTGCACTTTTAGAAGTGGTTTAAGTTGAACCACAAAGGCTCTTTGTGCAGAGTAAGTGTCCACATGAGGTAAACACATTTAACAGTAGTCTCACTTCCCAGCTTGTTTTACAGACAAGTCTTTAACTACTTAAGCTCTTAAACAACCAAGGAAGTTTTGTTTGGGTGTGCTTGAGCTCCTTTTCTATTTAAAAAAAGAAAAAAAGTCATCAGAAAGCCTCAGAGAGCAAAAGTAGATTAAAAACACCCCAAACTCCTCCACAGTGGAAGAATTAAGTCCCTTACCAAGTATTTTTCCTTCTTCTGAATGGGATTTTCCAGCAAGCATTCCGTGTCCATTTTCCTTAGTCTCTAAGTAATGAGCATACAAGGCAATGATTATCTTGTCCTTTTCCAGTACTTTCCCACTTACCCATTTCAAGTTATCAGTGTTAATCTGAAAAACCAAGAAGCTGAACTCTGCAAACATTCAAAAGCCTATGATTAATCTGGTGCAGACAGAAGCCTTCCATATTACAGAAAGTAGACCTTCTGCTACATGTTAGATTTCTAGCACAAACTGAAAATTACTCTAGAACTAGATGAGTACATGGAAGCAGAATGAGCACTGCTAATGGTTGATGCTGAAATACCTCTCTTGAGGTCTGGATGATAGACAGAAGCTTCTGAAGTTCCATATAATCAGTAAAAAGACTCCTGCAGGTCCCCTTGTAATGGCTGGCAGCCTCAGAAGGCCTGGGCAAGCGATCCTCACAGATCTGGAAAAGAGTGCGGCTATTTAAGGGGGAAAAGATCTCCCTGAAAGGAAAAAGGCTGTAGGCCATAGGGGAGGAGAGGAAGAAAAAAAAAAATCTTAATCTGTAGTTGAGATAGTTTTCCTCATACCTCGTGCCCCCTTTAAGAAAAAAAAAGGGAAAAAAAAAAGGAAAAAAATACATAGGTACTTTGTTTTTTTCTGTTAGATGGAGCGGAACAAAGGAAGATGACCAACTCTGTATGTACAATAATGTGAGCAGTTGTGTTGATTAATACATCTTGTGACTAAGTACCCCCACAGGGTAACCTCCAGTACAGATATCGCATGACAAAGTACTGCAGGTGGAGACATTTATCCTGGTTTCTACCCTCCACCCCAGTAAGACCAAGGCATTGGAAATGTTGAAACCCTGAAGCCAGGGTCAAGAGCAAACTACTAGTTTGAGCTGTGATGTTTAACACTTAACTCTTTCAGAAACTTAATATTTGAGCAGAAAAACCTTTTTCTTTACCTAGATCCTCCAAAGGATTTCATACCTAGAGGATATATACTGTGGAGGTTGTACTCCCTGGAAACAGTTTCCTATACCTTGACCTGTAGGTGATCTGCTGGCCAAACACTTAAGGCTCAGTTCAGCTCTGGGGCCATGGCAAGCATCATGGCCACTTTCAAAAAATTAGGCCTTAAAGAAGGTTTCTTTGCCCACATCTCCCACATACAGCTACAGGAGGCTCAGTACTGCAGAGCTCCACAGAGAGAGCTGTACGAGAACCCTGCTCAGCCTTCCTGACTATCTCTTTGCCATTGAAACTTCCAGGCACTTAAGGCATTTTTCCTTTCCCACACACATCTTCTAAGCTACCCAGCTTTTTCCCTGGAAATTGTTGAGCCCATTCACTCACAGCCTTGTCTCATCAACTCTTCTACAGCTGCTACATTTATCGAGTGGGAAAAGGAAACCTTGATAACATCCTGCAGGGTGACCACCAGTTTCATCGCCTCGTTGTCCAGCTTCAGCATGAGGCGCAGCAGCTTCTCCAGGGGCTCGCTCAGTTCTCGCTCCACCTGGCTGTCAATTCCCCAGTCCAGGGCTTCATAGATCACCACTCCCAAGTACTCCAGCAGCTACGGAAACAGGCCAAGGAAGCAGCCTCAGAGCTCTCACTTCCCTCCACATGCAGCCCTCAGTGCTGAGCACCTCCCACAGGGTGAGGGGAGCTGAAGGGCAGCTGCCCACCGGCTGGCCTGAAACACTCCCCAGGTAAGCTGTTTTAAGATGTTAAATGGCCTGACTTAGTACCATTAAGTGATCGGTATTTTAAAAGATAGAAAACCTATGGGCTAGGGCTAATCCATTGTCAACATCTTCTGCGCACACACTTTCCCAGGCCCATCACCATAGTTGAGTTTGAATCTAGAGCTTTATGTCATTTTCCACATAGCAGGACACAGAATCACTCCGCCGGGCCTCTGCTTCCCCAGGGCACAACAAGCAGGAGCACCATGATATGTTTTAAGCACCCAGAAACCTGGGTCTCCAGAGGTTGCCTTCTGCCACAGCAGGATTACAGCTGCATGCACATGAAGCTGAAGGCACCAGCTTACCTTCTCCTCTAACTGTTGAGCATTGCCAACATCTGAAAGGGAAACAGGAGAGGAGAGGGATAAAGAAAACTGTGTAGGGGTTGATAAACAGCTTCTACCTAAGTATTTGAACTAAATGATTTGTAAGATGGTCGCTAGAAAAGTTAGGAGGCTGCACAGATGAATTACCACTCATCCAGGCCTTTGGAAAGAGGCTCCAGGAGAACAGCCACATGATAACACACAAGTAAAAAGAAAGAAGAAAAGCATTTCCCTGTTTCCCCCACATTTTAGCTAGGTAAGAGCTAGGTACAGGAACAAGTCTAGTCCCCACAGCTACCTGTGCTCTTCTGATGGACCTTGAAGGAAACGGCACCATCGGCATGGATGAAGATGCTCCCAGGACCCTTGATGAGCACAGCATGGAGCACGGGGTGCAGCCCACGGGCCAGCTGCCGCATTCTCGAGCAGCACTGGAAGCAGAGGGCCCAGGCCTGCTCCTCGCTCAGGGCACGCTCCAGGCACCGCAGCACCTCTGCCAGCGACACCATGGGGGGCTTCTCCTCACATGACAGCAGCTCCATCACCAGCAGCTCCCAGGCCTGACTCCAAGGCCAGGGCCCTCCCAGCAGCCTTTAACGGGCTCCACTGCTGTGTCCCACCCGCCCCCTTCCCTTCCCTGCAGGTGTGAGGGATAAAGCTCATTTTGCTCTGCCTTTTTTTTTTTTTTTCCTCAAAGGGACACACTTAATGCCACCCTCTAACCTGTATCTATAGGAGAGCACGGGGCAAAGTGGAATCTAAAGAGATAGCAGGGCTTTTAAAGTTCGTGCTCAGCTTCACCTTGATGATTTCTAGTGGGAATATTGATGGGAACGTTACTTGGTGCAAGGTAGAAAAGAGCAAGCTCGGCCTCAGGTAGGGAGGGAAGGAAGAAGAAAACATTGTATATTAAGGAGAGAAGAAACTATGGGATCTCTTCTCCAGGATAACTACGGATAGGACAAAAGGAAATGGCCTCAGGTTGATCAGGGGCAGCTCAGGTTACACCTTGGGAACAATTTCTGCAGGGAAA